CCCCCTTCTTTTCCCCCTCTTTCCTTTCCGTCCTCTTCGGTCGGTCGGTCGGTCGGTCGGTCGCACGGGGGACACCAAAAGAGTAAAGTGTGACAAGTTTTATTTTATTGGTAGGCCGAGCCGCACTGGACAGCTCCGCCCTGCCCCCCGCCCCACACAGCCCCACGAACACAATGACCATCAAGGTGCAGGGTCCGACCGTTGGACAGGTCGGGTTGTTGGGGAACTGGTGCGTATATTTCGGGCAGTGTGCAATCAGCCAAAGTGCAGCACAATTATGCCTTGCACAAAGTTGTTTTCTCACGGCTCCATAAGGCGGTTCCGGCCCCGCGCGTTTTCTAAGGACCGGGAACTAGTAACGAAAATTTCGCTGGTTTTTCCCATTTTAAAGTTCGACCACAAGTAATTTCCCTAGTAACGTGACTTCCTTCCTTAATTCTTCTTTAAATGGACGCAGCCGGAACATTTGCTCTGGTTGCACGTCGCGCGGTTTCCTTGTCTGCCTTTTTCAGATTTGTCTTGGTTTGCTTTTTGTTGTTGTACTTTTTATTTTTTTCTGCTTTCGCGCGTTCTTCGCCCAGTTTTTCCCAGTTTTCGGTCGATGCCGCAACGACGATATGTGCGGAGGGTTAGAGAGAGAAAGAGAGAGAGAGCTCTATATGGCGCTTCGGCGTCGCGACATGTTGCCTGCCGGCCGTCAGAGCGCATTAGGGAACGCGCCCACGGCCTGCTCGGGGGAGGAAGGAGGACGACGAGGAGGGGGAGGAGGGGGAGGACGACCACGGCGGAGATGCATCTGCAATTATTTCGCCCCCTGTCAGCTCGGCGCGTCGCCCCGCCGTCGCCGCCGTCCCGCCTTTAGCGAAAGAGGAGAGAGAATCGAGTGAAAAGAAAAGTAGAATTACGGAGCAAGTGCAAAAGCGAGAGCGGGGCGGGGCGGGGCGGGTTGCAGATATAGAGGAGCAGAGAGCAGCCTTTGACGACTGACCGACCGCGTTACCTGGCCCACAGCACAGGCAAGCCTAGCCCCCGAGGCCAGGCTTTACACAGGCAGTGCCCAGCGGGCGGGCGGCCCCATAGGCATGGCCCAGGCACGCCAACCTGACCCCGATGCTTTCAATAGGCGACGGTCCGGCGGCGGGGTGGCTGGCTAGAGGCCGGCCCTGGGCAAGGCTTGGAGCGGCTTGGAGCGGCTTGGAGCCTGCCAGAGCAGCAGCAGCTGCAAGAGCGCGCGCTATCGCTCTTTATGCGTCCGGGTTGCGTGGCCGAAGCCGCTGCTTGCCGGACAGCCCCGGACAGGCAACACTGTTGCGCGACAGCCGGGTGGGACAGAACTGCTGTTGCTGCAGCAGCATTCCCCCCCTCACTGAAACTGATTTTGCGATACTTTTACTCAAATTCAGCGATAAATCATGTTTTGCGATTCCCATGCTAAAGAGCATGATAACTTTTTATCGCAAACAAAATTGCGATAAAAAGCATAGGGAGAAAATCATCACAAAAACAATGCGATAAAAAGTTATCGCATGCATGAGTATACTAGATGCAGATAGAGAAGGAAAAATGTTACAATAGCTCCAACAGCGAAAAGAGCCAATCCTAAATGAATTGGTCGAAGAAAATATACTTGGAATGGTACTGATGATATTAAACTTAATCAAAGTAACGGGAAAGCTACTTGTAATTTAGGAATCAAAGCATACTGCTCAGTGAGAATGTGGGGAAAGGGGTGGGTGGGGAAGGAGCATATCTTTTGTAACACTCACCAGAACACAAAGCATTGCATAGCTTTTCCCTTATCCTAAGGATCCCGAGTCACCCAGTACGACACCAACTGTCTGCATCTCCTGCTGTGCCTTGGCTGGCCCAGGCCACTCTGGTATAGCCAGGGTGAGCCAAAGGGCAAGCTCGCCGGGAACCACTCGAAATCAAGTTTTGATGCACTACACGGGGTTTACACTTTGTTCTCAGTACTTTTCTTGGCACATACAATAAGTAGCACCGAAAAGAGTCGACCGTCATTGCCAGGGAAACTTCAGAACAACAGTAAACTTGTACTTTTCTCCGTACTTTCACGCTCGACTGGTCGCCATGTTGCTAGAACTAGGTTGTCAACAACACACGCCACGTTATTAGAAGAAGGTTATCCATATTTCGTAAATTCCGTATCGACTTGTACAATGTCTGTCTCTCTGACGCAGGCTTGTCATGCACTTCATCACACTGATTTTACAATTTACTGCTAAGCAACACAAGAATCACTGATTGAATCATTGGATCGGGACGAAACAAAACAACTGGTACGTTTTGCTGGCGATACGCCTTGTCACAAACACCTGGAAATACCCCAGGCTCCGAAGCGTCTGGAAGTGTTAGACGCACCACGATACGTTATGCCCAGAGCAACTGCGAATAAGCCGACTCGAGGGAGCGCCGTTCTTCTCTCTCTCTCTCTCTATCTCTCAAAACACAATAACACAAAACTTTCACTTTGGTGTTTATTACCACAGTTTTGGTGTCACTGTGTTTCTTCGATTCTACACGTTGACAGTGTAAGTCTCCTCCACCTGGAATTCGCCTTTGTTTTCTCAGCTCGTTTGCAAGTTGTGGTTTTGAGTCTTCATAACCCCGCTTTGTCACATTGGTTTCCAATTTTCTTTCTGCTTGCACCGATGCCTTTGGTTTTAGCTATCGCTTATGCTTTCTTTGAGCAAACGTCATCGCCCCCTCTCCTAGTTTGTTCTTATTTGTTCCCTCGTTTTTCTACAGTACTGCTGTTGTTAACATTTTAGTTGATGTTAACATTGCTGCTTGATTTGCTCATGTCTCCTTATGTGTTTAATCAGAATAGCTCTGGCAACTTTCCTCAAATTTTTCAAATGCAGTGCCAGAAATATCTTTGGACATATCACTTTGTGGTCTAATAAGGGTTGTTTGTGGTTTCAGGTACGCTGTTGGTCTGACAATCTCTGCAAGGCTCCACGTCCAACTTTCCTTCTCATCTTGCAGAATCAGGGAAGGAACCTCCTCATCACAACCTTACCTCAAGTAGTTGTCAGTATATAGTAGGAGTCCAGCTTGACATCCATACACAGCAGCGGCTGTGAAATGTAAGTACCTACATTTTATTATCATCCATCACACACTTGTATTTTTTAAAGAAAACAACACGCATACTCTTTTGCCAGTAAATAATTTTTTAACTCTTGCTCATTAATTGTTTGGTCTGCAGGTCCCTTTTCATTGCTCTGTCAAAGTTGGACATCGGCTACTGATGTTTGACAAGATTAATTATTTTGGTGTTGACTTCAAGGTGGAGGTAGAAAACACAAATGTTGCTGCCGTTTGAGGTGAGTAGTAAGAAGTCAATTCTTGACAAACATACTCAAATTAAACTAAATCAGTTTATCACCCCGTCTTTCTACTTTCTTGCAGCAAGAAGTGTGGAGGAGAACAATCTTG